TTCAAAAGCAAAAGTATCTCATATCATCTCTTCTCCATTTGCTTCTCCTTATCCTTGTTGTTGTTTACGACACAAGGAGAAGGAGAACAATCAACCGGAAGCCGAAGTCGAACCTCTGATCCAGGTTGTTTGCTTAGAAGTTTGATTGATTACCTTGTCTATTACCTCTTTCAGCAAATCTCCTAGCTCGGCGATTTGGGGGACTCCTACTATAGGGTTTTGTATCACACTTGACCAATCCCGAAACTACAAGTAAGCTTCAAGTGAAATTGATACATTACCTTGTGCATCTTCATCGGTTAAAGATACCACCCCTAGATGGAGGAAAAGTACTTTCAAAGAAGATGCCACACCTACGTATGAGATAGATAAGACAAGTGAAAATGATACCACACTTCGGTACTTAGAAGTTTCGTGATTACTCAATGGCTTGGATCTTGTAAGTCCCCAATCGAGGAGTTTCCCTCACTCAAGAACTTAGAGGAGCACTGTTTGTACCATACTTAACCAATCCCGAAACTATTGAGCACCGGTCAACGTTATACCGTCAAGGAACCAGAAGAGTTTCCCTCCAACCAGGAGGCCAATCACAGCGTGACACGTGTCGACATCAGAAGCCAATCACAGCGTGACACGTGTCAACGTCAGAAGCCAATCACAACACGACACGTGTCAATGTCAGAATAAAACTAGAAACTCTCTTCTATAAATAAATCATTCACTAGTACTCACTAAAGGAGAGCTTGAACCTATGTACTTGTGTAAACCCTTCACAATTAATTTGAACTCCTCTACTCCGTGGACGTAGCCAATCTATGTGAACCACGTACATCTTGTGTTTGTTTCTCTGTCCCTATCAATTTACATACTTATCCACACTAGTGACCGGAGCAATTTAGCGAAGGTCACAAACTTAACACTTTCTGTTGTACCAAAGTCCTCACTGATTTTGTGCATCAACATAATTCATTATGTCTCATCACATCGCCATTCACAACATACGTCATATTTAAGAACCGACGAAGCACATAACCATTCTCTAGCCACATTAAACAATTAATCTAATCAAAATAATAACAGTCATTCCCATATTTTCTAAATTCATACTTGATGAAATCATAATCGAATCGTAGAGAATCCTGAAGGAGTCACCCAGGCGTCCAACATATTTTCTAACTCAATTCACAAGATTCTTAAAACCATTGTCACAAATATATATAAAACTAAGGCTAAAGTGACACTGTTAGGCCAAGCCTACTTTTCTGAAGTTAGGTTTTCGGACCTCTCAATGGAACCAAGATATCAAAGGGGATTCCGAACCATCACTCACATAATCCAAACTAGGATACGATTCCGGACCATCTCTCAACGAAATCACGGAGTACCATGCATGTAGAATCAAACCACTCGATGATATACAGGCTGGATACGATTCTGGACCATCATTCAACAGAATCCAATCCAGGATACGATTCCGGACCATCACTCAACGGAATCGCGGAGCACAATGCATAATCACCACTAAATGAAACCCAAGTTAGATACGATTCCGGAACATCACTCGACGGAATCGCGAAGTAGAAGGGATTCCGGACCATCACTCAATGGAATCCAAGCAAGCATATGGTACCTACCAAATGTACCAAGTATATCTAAACCTCATCATCTCCATAATTACAACGTAGTCACCTACCATATTCACTTCTTGTGGCCTCCAACTAATATGTCCCACCAGCATATAAGTGCTATAGAATACTTCTAATAGGATTCTAAGATCACATAACCATAAATTTATCATACTTATCATTCACATTACTAGAAATAATTAAACATCCATATATCACCATTATCATCAGTACACAAGCCAAATCATGTTTAATAAACATAAGTCTATGGCTAAATATATGGAAATCACATTTCAATAGAAATCATATTTATAATACCAATTCATATTCACAAATGATTTTAACATAAACAATTAAAGTAACAACCATAACACAAATATTCAAGTCACTCTGCAACCAATTTAGGCCCACTAGACTTCACTTAAGTCTCTCGTAGTACTAACTTTAGTATTAAGAACGTTTGGAGACATATTGACTAAAAGTCAACTCTCGGTCAAAGGTTGGGTCCACAATTCTACACAATTCAATTTGGAAGATCCAAACATTGGATTTCAGATCCCTAACTTTCCAAAGTCCACATTATGCTCAAATAACAACATACTAAAATCTCAACACGATCTGATGGTCGGATCTCCGCCAATTTCAAAATTCAAGTGGTGGTCGATATTTAATTTTACAAACTTAGAAATCCAATTAGGGAAGATCTGTATGTTGGATTCCCGATCCGTAAGTTTCTATGATCCTCAAATATTATGTTATATCACGCATTAAGGTTTGGTGATGATCTAACGGTCGGATCGTCGATTCATATTTTGATCCAGGAAGGTATTGTAATGAAACTAAGTCCAACAATCCAATTACGTTATACGGATATCAATTATGAAATCAAGGCATCTAAATGAACTTAAAAATATATCGTCGGCCCGCTGGCCAGGCCGCCGCTGCACGCATCGCTGCAGTTGGCGGTCGGCCGCCCCGACTTGCTGAAAAAATTCAACTATTTTTAAAAATTACCAAATTTTACAGGCAAGTAGATCTCAGTGAGGGGAGAAGTTTTCATACCTGTGGCCAAGTCCAATTCGGCCGGGAAGCGTCCCAATTTTATCCAAACCCGCCAGAAACCCTAGAAATGGGTGTTCTTCGGTTCATCACCAAAACGAACTTCGACGCTTCATCCAAGCCTTGGGCCTTGCTCCAGGGGTTGAGAGGAGTCTTTTGGTGGTGGTCATCGATAGTAAAACTCGCCAGAATCACCGAAAACAAATTAAACCCACTGAAAAACTTGTGGGTTTTGTAGCTTCGAAATGGAAAAATGGGAAAGAAATGGGGAAATCTAACAATACAGATATGTAGTGCTCGTCAAGGGCTTTCTATGGACACCAAGATCACCCAAAACGGAGTTCGTATGAAGGAGATATGGCCGGGTCAAATTTGAGGGAAGTCCTAATCCGCAAAACAGCATGTGACTAATTCATAAAATTTTGCGTTTATGATCAAAATTGTTTGTATTATCAATCAATTTGTAAGGATTATTTTGCAACAACAAAAAAATATATTAAAAATCGTTTAGTCATTGAACTGTATAATAACAAATGATCGAAATCGTTAGAAGTATTACAAATCATTTGTCATTTGCTATAACCGATTGACTAAACGAACCATCTATCATTTTCTATAATTGATTGACTAGCAACCTTAGTTTTAACTAATTTAAATGCAACGATGATATTTATATAATGATTTATAATATGTATGGTTCTGTCATAAAAACAAAATAGGCCACAACTATTTTGAGGAGGAGTTCCTCCACATTTTAGTGGAGCCAAGTAATGCTCATAAATAGTCTTTACAACTTCGATTGAAAATCTAAAATCCAAAGAGATTCACATACCAATCCAAGACTAGAAATAAATAGTCTCAACTCGGAATGATGATTCTACATCGTAATACAATCAATTAATTTGTGTCAATATATGATATAATAATAATAATAATAAAGTGAAATTTTCTCAATACGGTTCGTCTCCGTTATTTTTGGCTTTCACTAAATACTATATCACCTGCACGTCATTTTGTGCATATATTTAAGCGTGTACGAAATCGTTAATCTACCTTGATTGTTCGGAAGTTTCAAGTTTCACCAACCAAGGCACCTACAACAGCATGTGTTGTACAAAATTTAACAACGTTAGGTATCAAGAGAAGAAGTCAATTCAAGTTTGACACTCGGAATGCACTCACCAACTTCACTGCCTTAGAATTTGGTCAAGTTCTTTTCGTGGTTCCTGTAATGACATCATACTTTTAATGTGACTCTTGTGATGAAAATGTTGTTAATTGAACACTTACGATGCCATGGTTAGCAATTATAGTCCAAATTATAACATCAATTAGTTTTTTGTTAAAAAACTCACATGAGCGTTTTGTGCATGGTTAAAATCGTCATTTCAAACACTCAACTTAACTCAAAACTAATTGTAGCAATGATCTGTTAACTTAACTCAATATTAGTTTTTTTTAGTCTTTGAGCTTAATAATGTGTTGTCTGATGTGTCTTTTTCACTAACACCGTTTATTTTTATGTTAAATTAGGGATATATTAAGAACTTCGTCCAACATCACTAAAAATGAATTTTAAAAAATGAGAAAATAAGAAAGAAAAGGAAAACTTAAAAGATAAGTTTTTTTTTTTTGTAGTTCAATATGCGATTTGTTAGTTGTTGAGTCCACCACAATGACTTCCTACCAACTTTGAAATTGCGTTTGCATTATATTTAAAAGTTGCTAAAGTTCAACCATTTTTATAGTTCAATTTTATTTTGTATTAAGTTTTAGTTATTATTTTATAATTTTTTGTTTTTTTAGCTTATTCTATTTTTTTTTTTAATTTTAAGTTGAAGAATCTAATATATCCCTAGATTTAACTTTAAAAATAGATGGAGTTAGTGAAAAAAACTAATGGTGCAAGACATTGTTAAGTTCGATGACAAAAAAAAACTAATATGAGTGTTTAAGAACTAAAATTAACACTACAAAAAAACATGGAATAGATGACGGAATTTTTTGTGGTGCGAAAAAATTTATCACAATTGGGTAAAATAAGTGATCCTTTTTTAGAACCATCACATAATAATTTTCACTTGGACACCAAAATACTTTGCATCACATAAACTTTTGAATTCGCCACAAAATATTGGGCAAAAATTTTTACCGCTAAATGAAATGTTAATATGTGACGAATCTTTAAAACTCATCACACAACAAAAGAGAAGGCCACGTTATTCCATTCGTCACTTATAGTATTAAAATAAATAAATAAAATATACCGAAGAAATAATATCAAAACCCCAAAATGTAAAACCTATTTCACTCAGTTCTCACCCATTCCAGTCGTCTTCAGCTCCCCTTTGCTTACTCTCTCACCCCGACTCCGACGACCAACCACTGGTGGTTGCCAGCGACAGCGACAACCATTCTCCTTCGTCTTCCTTTCTCGGCCACTCTCTCAGTATCATCTGCTGCTCGTTCTCTAACTCTCTCCTCTCTCTGACATAACAGGACCCAAATTGGGGAAAGAGAGATTCGGTTTTCTATCGAGTTCTTCAGGCAAAACAAGGTACTTATTTGTTTCCCTACATTTCTTTAATTGTCTTTTGGATTTTCTTCTTCAATCCGTTATTTGGTTGCCAAGCTTAGACACCCAATTATCAATTTCCTTTGTCTTTCGAAAATCAATGAATAATGGGTGAAATTGTATTTTTCTTTTTACTGTGAATTGTAGGATGAAATTATTTTTCTGGAATGCTTCTATTTTTCTTGCAGGATGAAATTATTTTCTAGAATGCTTCTGTTTTCGATGCAGGATGAAAATATACATAATTGTTTAAGTTACCACCTTATACTCTGCAGTCAGTTGCTAGAGCTATCATTTATGTTTTCTGGAGAAGTGATTTTATTATGTAAGGTTCTATTGGAATCTAAAACAGCTAGTGCCAATGGAGACAAATTATATTTGGAGGAACCACATAAACATAATGGGGCTGAATTGGTAGTTGCTGTGAAAAAGAAAGATAACAATATGCGGTGATATGTGACATTTGAGAATAATTCATAGGCAAAGGGTCCATCGGAAAAGAGGACTATATAAATTAACACTTATCCTACAATACTAGTTGTATATGGTTCAAATTTAGTAGGTTGAGTATGACTTGTCCTAACCTAATTCAACTCGCTATTTGATACCCAACCTCAAATCTAAATTACTAATTCCTATTGGATTGGGTGTTGAGTTTCTACTTATGTGTCTCGGTTCGAAATTCTCCCTTTCCCTCAATTAATGTAATAGTTTGGAACCCTCCCCTCACTCCTTAATAATGGTAATTTTTTCTTTCTTAAAAAGGACATGATAGAATGCATGTGAGGTAAGTTTTTTTGAGGTCGTGATTTAGAGCAATTTCACCCCTAAGGACTTTGCGCCAGCACCCAGCGCATTTATCCACTCAAATGAACAGTAACAGACTCCAATGAACAGTAATAGGCCAAGGCATCTCCACCCCTAAAAAAATGCGCTGGCACCTAGTGAAAAAATGCGCTGGCACAAACGATCTCCATCCCTACAAAATGCGCTGGCAACCAGGCCATTTAAAATATTTTTAAATTTTGTCTAAAAAACTAAAAAAATAAAATAGTTTTAATTTCGGATAGGATTTTTAACCAATCTCGTCACGCCACATGTCATTATCTGAACGTACTATTTTGTGAATAGATTTCCGCTAAGATTTTCAATTAACATTTTTCAAAAATTTCTATATATTTTTTTAAATTTTCTGTATTTTTTAATAATTTTTCTGTATTTTTTAATAATTTTTAATGAATTTTAATATAGTTAATTAATCTGGACCGTTGGATTTGAAAAATATTCAAATCCAAGAGCTAGGGACTTGGCACGTGGCCAACGGTCATATTTATGACCGTTGGGCTGTTTTTTTTTTATTTATTTATTTACTTTTTGTGAAAAAAACGTGGACCGTTGATCTATGATCGGACGGTCCATTTTAAAAGTCAAATTTAAATTTTTTTTACCGTTGGAAATCCAACGGTCTACAAAAAATAGCCGTTGGAAATCCAACGGCACTGAGGAGGGCCACGTAGCCCTATTCCGGGTGAACACAAGTGGGCTGACAAGCAGGCCCCCCCGCCTGCAACCCGGTCTGCTACTCGCGCACAAGCGTGCTTGTGCTGCACGCGCCTGCTAAACAGGCCGGCCTGTTGCTGGGCTTGGGCTGTGTGCCAGGCTCTTTTGCGGGCTGGAGCAAATTGACAAGGGGCTGGGCAGTTTTTTGGACTAGGTGCTGGGCAATGTCCACTGGGGTGGAATTGCTCTTAGAAAGGGAAAAATGTTATGAGAAAAAGTTTGGTCTATTTTCAATTAGTTTTGGAGTGCAACTTCAACTTTCTTCATGTAAGAGAAAGAAAAAAAAAGAAACAAAGAGTATGAGTGATGGATTGCCCTGACATTCTTAGTCAACGAACTGCATCTCAAGTTCAAACCCTTTTCCCTTCACTAGTGTAGATTAGTAGAGTTTTGTAATATACTTCAATATTTTTCTTTCTTGTGTTTTGTGGGAATCTACATTTGGATCATTTCAGATGTTTGGTTAACTCATTTTTTTTATATTAATTTTTAATTACAGGTTGGTGCTTGGTTGCTTGACTTCTAACCCTTTTGTTAGCTCATATGAGTAATTGTGTGCGTGTTGTATTCTCTTTTGTTGTGATGGATTTTTGTTTTAGATTTTAGTTGGGATTCATGTTACTCACTAAGTCTACTTGCTTTGCTTTATATATAAATTAATTGTCATTTGGGATTGAATATTTGGGTCTCATTGTTTTTCAGGAATGGTCTCTTTGTGTTCGGTTAGGTCCACTAATATAGAGAAAAAGGTCCAACTTGCTTGGCCAGCAAATAACTTGTGTGAATCCATTTCTGTCTTTTGCAGGTCAATCATGGTATTCATTATATCACCACCTATATTTCCAGGTGTTGTTACAAATATATACGGGTAAAGTGGTTTAATAACTTAAATAGGTGTTAATATGTATACCTTTTGGTCAAGTGTGCTGTAGAAGGGATATATCTTGTGTATCAACACTTTTTTTCTTGCTATAATGTTTTCTGTAAGGTATGCGTTTGAACAACATTTGGGTTACCTAACCGTTTTGTTTGAGTGAAATAGTTCTTGATATGTCTACTGGAATGGATTACAAAATGAAAAGTGGTGATGCAGCTGGAGCTTTAAAGATTGAACCTATTCAAAGGGCTAGTTTCTTCTACGTTGCCTATTATTGATGCTACAGATTTTGTAGCAAACAACTCCAATTCAATATTTTTAGTTTTGATATTATCTTTTTCAAGCTACAATTGGGATGTATTGTAGGTTACTGTGGACATGTTAATGTAAAAACTACCCATATTTGAATTATAAGAATTTTTTTTTCATTGAGTTTCATAGTATGTACTTGCCATTTACAGAATTACATTAAGCTGAAATACTAGTTTAATTACTAATGATAATATGTAAAAGAATAAATGGATTAAAATATAATATAAACAATTTAAAGGAGCAGGTGACGATATACCTATTCATCACATAATTTTAGGATTTGTGATGCTTATAACATCACAAATTGAGTCAAGATTGGCTTTTGGGCTTGAAAATATGTGAGGAATCGGGTGCCACGTATACTAAGAACAGGTGACGAATCACAAATTCGTCACAGATACTATTAGTGACGCCACATAGGTGACAACCTTTGTGACGACCGAATTCGTCACATGTACTATTATATGACGAATTTGTAGTATTCAGTGACGCTTTGCCATCGCCACTGAAGCCCTATTTTCTTGTAGTGTAAACTAAAGGTGAAATTCAAGAACTATTACTACAATGAATTGGAATGGCGTTTTTTGTCGCTCCCTTCTCTCCGGGATCCAGCTCTTCAAATTTTCTTGCGACTTTATTTTTATTTTTTTTTAATTTTATGCGATCTGCATCAATATGCATGGTCCCCTAGCACTATATCGACAACAACTATCGAGTCCTGCTACTGCAGAATTGAAACCAAACAAATCAAATAAATTTAAGCCACGTACCTCAAAAATCTGAGTAATGCATGGAGACATTACATATATCTACGTTCATGGAATTCAACTTGGACTTCAAAACATATGAAATAATTTCCAAAACTTGTTTTGAAGTCTCATCTGGTCTAATCCCAATATCCAAAACTTGTTTACCTTAACAGAAAAAACTTGGAGTTGACTTCTTGTAGTGTAAGAAGTACGATCGTCGCAGAACTGAGCTGGTCATAAAATGGATATAATGTTAACAACATAGGCGGCAATTGGTGAAAATTATTGTAAAATTGGTTCATCAAAAAAATAAACAGTTCCTTTATCAGGATGAACAACGTAATAATCTTTAACTATCGAGATGATAATTGTATAAATACACGTAGGTACTGTAACCAAATTTATGAGTTTCTATCCTTAATTTAAAAAACTATCAATAAACTGAAAAACTAAACATGGTGAAATCAGCAAATTACGATTAAAAAGAAAAAGATAATAATGAAAGACTATAAAAAAAGTTTTGTCCAAAATGATCATAAAATAACAGATTTTCCTTTTAGTTCCGTGACCCAGAGCCTCAAAGAAGGTTGGCAGCTGAGCTAATGTCCAGAAGTATGCTTGTAGCTGGAGAAAAAGACTTATACAGAACAAATTTATTATTATCGTAATATCTAGAAGTATGCTTGTGTTTCCTCTTTGCACTTCCAGTTTTGGTCAAATTTACTTAACTGCCACCATATTCAAAATTGTTTATCTTCTGGAAATAGTGATAAAAGTGTGCTGTTGTGTGCACGTACGCTGCGGTCGGTCCTACTAATTTACCCAATAAATCTAAAGGAGGACAGATGAGATGTGCTTGTGTGGGGCTTTATACACATATAAAATTATAAATTCTTCTAGGAACAACATGTATGATACATTTGCCAGCAAATCTGATTTGTTTTTTTGGTGTTATTTATTGGTAGGGTTGATCATTCGTGGCATCAAAAGAGTCTTCTAGATCTTCGTTTTAAAGCATCTCCAAGAAGGTAGCAATTGAGTAGCCAAGTTAAATTTGCTACTCTAAGTACGAAAAACACATCTCAAACGGAGACAGCAACTCAATTAACAAATAAGTAGCAACTGACTTGGTATATGAAACTAGAAACCTTACGTTTAAGCTCTAGATAATGAATACACCGTAAAACAATCAACAATACCAAAAAAAAAGGGGATCAAATTTAAAGAATGTAATTAGAAACAAGTTTTGCTCCACGTGTCATGTCTTCAAAAAATACGCAACATTGTACACAGAGTCGCCTTGTTACTTCTTCGTTATTTTTAGTTTTAAAAAACTATATCATTTTGTGCGTATGATTCCAGCTCGTACGAAATATTTAATTTGGCATCGGTTCATTGTTTGAACTTAATTTGAAGTTTAAAGTTTTCACCAACCAAGTCAAGGCACCTACAACAGCAAGCAAGCATGCATGCATGCATACACGCGGTGTAATCTAATTAGTTCAACATTGTTAGGTATGAAATGATCGTTTGACCATCGAGACAAGAAAATTGTTAAGAGTTAATTAGACACTCGGACTACTGCCCGTCTGCTTCGGATTTTTATCAAGTAATTAAGAATGAGCTTACCAACTAATATTAATTATTGTGGTGTAATTTAATTAGTTCTCACTTGCAAAAACGCTCTCTCTCTCTCTCTCTCGATCGAGAGAGAGAGAGAAACTTATGTAAAACTCGACTTTCACTGGACACAATATGAACTTTTGAGGTACCTTTAGTTTGGTTTACTTGTGTTTTTTGAGATAGATTTGTTGAGGTTTGAGCTTTTGTTTGTTCCAGAGAGAGAGAGAGAGAGAGAGAGAGAAACTTATGTAAAACTCGACTTTCACTGGACACAATATGAACTTTTGAGGTACATTTAGTTTGGTTTACTTGTGTTTTTTGAGATAGATTTGTTGAGGTTTGAGCTTTTGTTTGTTCCTCCTCCTTCTAATAATTTAAAACTAATGAAATTCTGTGAAACGTATTTTGTGTATTTAACTCTATAAGTAAAGCTCTCTTATCATGACATGTCGGTCTTAATTTTATGGGTGAGTAGGTATGATTAAGAATAAAATGTTAATATGGTTTATGGAAGAGTAGGTGCGATTAAGAATGCTTCATGACAATATTAATTAGCAGCCACCACCTACTTCCCACTGTCCCCCTCTTTTGAACCACTTCCAACTTCCTTGTCCTCATTAGCCGTTTGTGGTGGGTTTGGGATGACACTTTTACTAAGTGCAAGTGTCTGTGGTTTGTATCCCTGCTCACTGCTTTGCTTTGTGTTTAGTTTTGTTGTGTTTGCCTCGGTGTAGGCTTTCTTGCTTCTGTTTGGCTTCTTAGCCCTGGGATGTTCAAAAAACAAAAGACGGTAATCCTGGATCAGCCCGTCGGACCACATAGCCATTGCGACCGCTGTCTCACCATCCAATGTCAGCGAGCATATGGATGTATTATCGACTATGTGACTTGTTGCACAAACAGTGGCAGAAATGATAGGAACATAAATTTGCCTGAAACTTTGGTAGCATCTTGCTATCTCATCAGGGTAAAGGCAGAAGATTCCCACAAGTTACGTAAGAAGAACAGGCATTGGAATCGAAAACTACGTAAAACCTATCCTATAACGATCACATATCGCTTCTCCGAAAAAATTCACATCCAAATTTCTCATAAGTAGGAGGAAGAAAATAACTAAGAACCTAGTGTTTTTCTTCTTTTCTTTCACATCCAAATATCTCATAAGAAACCTAACTCCTAGAGCTCATGCCACAAAGCACATCTCCCACATTGCGTAAACTAAAGCAAAAGGGACAGACAGAATTATCTTCTTAGACTTTGTGATTCTTTTGTTTCATATATCATGTCCAGCAACAACGCAAGCGGGAGAGAGATATTTGGGTCAAAGATTTGCACCTTGCGTTTGTTTAAAGTGTGTCGCTAGACGGATGGCTCAAAAATGTAGCTGCAAGCTTTGAGATTTTTTTATGCTTCTCTCGAAGATCTTCAGGCTTCTAACGATTCACAATGCCTCCTTAAGATTGAATGTCCTTGCTATGTCCCTAGCCTTGTCATACTGGTTCAGATCAACCAGCATTTTCTTTAATCTACGAGCAAGTCCACCAGTTTCACTTTGTGTCACACCAAGCGAATGCTTCTTCTCCAGAGTCCTACCCAACGAGAGCACATAATCCACCAGCGATTGCAACTTACGGCTGCACAATAGTTATTTCTTTAGGCAAATGAATAAGAGCATTGAACATGCAGTTAAAGGTAGTATAAGTACAAGAATGTATAATTTTCATTTTATAACTCATGTATTGGTTAATATATTTAAAACTGAAGGTAAAAATTAAACGACGAAAAAGGAAACTGAAGGGAAGGAAAAATTATGCAACAAAAAGAGCACAAGGCCTCAACATTTCAAGCTGACATCATACTCACAAATTACAATTAGACTGGGCAGATCCTACTCTTTTAAGCAAAGAAGTTTGAATGTTTTAAAGGGAATGTAAAGCCGGTTTATGATAAAAATAATGTCCAACTCAACATGATGTTCAAGCCATGTATCTGCAATGAAAGGTTTATAATGTAATAGCGTCAAATTGTACAAAGTTCGTTACCCTGTAAAGGTATGGAAGACCTTGGACAAGATAAGGGAGGTGAAGAATGGAAAGAAAGGAGAAGGCTAAAACTCTTGCCAATTTGAGGCACCATATTAGTTGGGTCAAAGCATCACATTGTCTACATCATTAATTGAACTCAAAAATCCATCACAGGCATAGGACACAAACATGCACGCATCAAATAAGCACACTCACGCATGGAAGTAATCTGTGTTAGTTGAAGCACTACCTGCGGTCCCCTGTGACATTTGAACCTGCCCACACCCCAGATAGAGAAGCAACAATCCTTTCAGTTCTTGTAACAGCATCATGCACATTTGCAGCAATGCTTCGAACATGAGGTAGAACTTTACCACACAACAGCTCCTCAATGGCAAGCTTCTCTAGAATGGGAGAAGCAAGGATTTCCTTCCACAAGCAGATATTTTTCATCAAACGAACAGACATACCGAATCGATATGCTGCCAGCCGTGCCACATCTGGCACTGCTGTCAATACAAGCGGGCTCCATGTTGGGACCTATACATTGGAAATGATCAAAATTAATTTCATGGTTCATAGTTTCTCCGACTTAGAATCTAGAGTTGACAGGTAGGTAAGGAAAATATAAATTAGATAGCATAAACACATCACTTTTATAAAATGTACATGCTTAATGCATCAATGTTTAAAACACACATGCATATGCCTGATTAAATGTCTTAAAGCTTTAGTTTGATAATTCAAAAGTTGTACCGTAATATTAGTAACAGCATCAGCCAGACGGGTGCGAATGGCACCTAATAAATCTGCAAGAGCCTCACTAGAAGGTGGAACGTAATCTGTTACCAAACTTGTGGCAGCAACTACATTCTCTGTCTCTCGCATACTGAGAATGTTCCAACAGTGAACAACTTGGTGATGCAAAATGGGTAAAGCAACCTTTTCCACCAGATCAGGGACAAGGTTAGCATCAGCATCATCTGATGCCAAATCATCTCCATCCTCCAGTAAACCATAGTCCATTAACAATGAATGCCTGAACAGAAGAAAAGAATATTTAATATAAGGATGGAAGTAAGCGAGCAGCAGTACTTCTGTGTGTGGTTCAGTGTTTCTAGAGGGTGTGAAATAAAAAGTACCAGTTCATGTTTAGAAAATCTGTTTTATCACGGAGGGGGTCCCACTTCAAAAGCTCCAGCCTCACATATGGAGAGAAAATAGTAGGAACACTTAAAGACATATAAGCATCACGGTAGCTTGATGCATACTCTCTCTTCCAGTCTTCAAACCTTTCTTTGACCACTGAAAGTTGAGAATATTCTTCTGCTGCATCATTGAATACTTTACCTGCAGTGTCGAGCACCAACTGGCGGTGTTTATGGTATACTTGACTCTCGTTGTCACTCTCATCAGTGCTTGATTCTCCTTCTATTGTTCGATGGGAACTGTCCACATCCATGGATGACAGTCTCTTAGAGTCGTACCGTACTTTCCTGCGTTGTCGAGCCTCAGACCTCCCTTTCATATCCATACGTTTCTTAAGGTTCATATCTCTACCAAATTCGTCTAACTTCACTGGTAGATTTGTTTGTTCTCTCAAAGCAGCAGATGCAGCTTGTGCTGCACTTTTAGCAGCTGCAATTACTTCAGCACTGCTACCTTCTTTACTGAAGATAGACATTGCTGCTTTTACAGCTGCTTCTACTTCCATCATTTCATCATCATCAGCACTTCTCCTCTCCAAAGTAGATGACGCACGTTGTTCATGAACTTTCTGCATTTCTGCTTCAAGCTCTTCTATATAGGGAGCTTTAACCTGAAAATGAAGAATTACAGGAACAGATAAGTTCAGATCAACATGCTATGTTGTCCTTAACGGGATTGAAAAAATGGAAATAGAAGAAGAAACATCAAGTAGATAATAGAAGTCATATGGCACATCTCAAAAATACGTTTATTTAGAAAATGAAGTAAACCGTCAAACACAGTAAGCACAAGCAAACAGAACATCAATGGTAACCAATGTTGAGTTAGAGGCCTTTGTTCTATACAGTCTTCAAGTCCTTCATTGGTAATCTATGCGTAGAAGGCCTTTTACCTGCTATGGTTAGCAATCCACAACGAGAACTCTGTTAAGAGTTAAAATGTGGTTGCTACAGTGGAATATTCATCAATCATTTATGTGGTTGCCAAACTTTGATTGAATTTCCAGGGATAAACAAATTGCAATCTGCTAATCTGGGAAGGACCACTGCCAGTTTCACTTTCAAGAAGAAGTGTTAACTTTGTCGGCCATTTTTCTTAGAGAAAAAGGTCGTAGGGAAAAAACAGACAAGTCTAAATTTTTATACAAGAACAAGAAACTAGAGATTAATCCCTTTGATATTAACAATGGGGGGTTATGGCCATTTCGAATTCCTCCTACAGTAGCCTACTTTTCAGCAACAAGTCCTCAGAAAGAGAGTGAATTATAATGTGTATCATATGCAAATGTAATGAAGAGCCAATGATTCATCTATGCTGCCAGGTAGCTTGAAACTCAGGCACATTACATTCTTCCAGAACTTAATGTCGTTGGTTCTACCAGAATCCTAAATGAAATGCCCTCCAGTTGACATTCCATATTGGTAAGCAGGCCAAGGAAAACTTTGGGGAGCAAATGCAAACCATATTGTATTTTACGATAGCATACCTGCAAAAAGTCACATATGGAAGAGACAAAATCACGAAGCTTTTGCATGAACTGGTACTTCTCATCAGCAGCAGACAGAGACTTCTCGAGAGCAGTAATATTCAACAGCGAGGCAGACAAATTTTCGTCAGTCTTAGTTAGTGACAACATGGTTGTGCCATGACTTGCCTGAGAGATCAAAACATATTTTGAGTACATGGTTATCATATGAATATGCTACATGGTTATCATATGAATATGCTATAAAGGCAGATAAAATACAACGCAGATATATCATGTCAGTAATGAGCTCCCTGACATTGGTAGAGTTTTTATTTCCAAACGTATGGCTCATATATTCAGCTATGTATTCTCTGGTTTACATTTGTTCTTATTGTCAAATGCATTAATGCCACAAAATCTGTTGGAAAGTAACACAATCAAAATGTTATTCCATCTATGCATTAAAACCATAGCTAGTGAACTAAAGTTAAGACCAACATACACGACCACATTACTAAAAGCCAATATGTCACTCAATTATTATCCTATGATACCTAGAAATGCTTTACCTCCAACATTGATAGATTTCGATATAAAATTCAACTTGACCAGAAGAGCAGCAATTCATACCTTAAGCTTCATGAAATTTTCTTCCAAAGCTTTCCTAGCAATGTCCGCCTGCGCCTTTATGGACATCACATTCGAACCTTGTGATGCTCCAATTGCCCCTCCTATACTTGGCCCAACAGGCACACTCTGTGCCAAACTATAACCCGTCACTGCAGAGTAGGTAGCCTTTGGCTGGGGCACACTAGGAACCGCAGGAGCACTAGTACCGACCGCCCCGTCATCCACCCTCTTCCCCAACCCTTTCCTAAACTGCTCTTCTTCCCAAATCTTCTCTTCCTCATCCTCTTCATCACCATCTTCGACACTTTCCTGCCTCAATCCAACATCCACTGCCCTATCATCAACATCCTCAAAGACCCCCTTTTTAGAACCGTCCATCTTATCCCCAAACACTGCAATTCTGCCTCGAAACTCTGGTTCCTCATCACTCAATCCTTCCGCAGCGCCATGATTACTCCCTGAATCCAATGAGATAAAATCCGGGGCTGCTGCCCTCGATTTCCTCAGCCGTTCCCTCTTTGCCCGAATTGCATCTATGGTGGCTTGATCAGGAAACAAACCAGGTGAGCTCTTGCCCTTGTCAATTCCCATCGAGGCCAATCGGGCCTCCGCATCGTCTTTTTCCCTATTAAACAAACTACCCCTTTCTTTCTCATGCTTCTCGTCGGAATCGGAGTCCAACTCCCGGGCTTCTCTCAGCGTATCGGAGATTGAGTCGGTGGGTTTGACAAGGCCCTTCAGAACAATGGTGGGCTCGGAGGAAGGTCGGGAGCTGGCTAGGGTTCGCGTGTTCTTCTGCAGCTCACGGAGCGCTTCTTTCGTGTAGGTACCTGCTTGTGGCTGAACGTTGGACGGCACGGAAGTCGACGCGGAAGACGAATGAGCGAGACGGTCTTTGAGAGCCGTCAACTTATGAGCTGAAGAGGGCTTGCCGAGACGGGATGAGGGCTTATCGCGTTTGGAAGAAGAGGCGGAGCGGGAGGGGGCGGCTGCGTTTTCTTCGTCGTCAACGAAGCTGAGAAGCTTCGGGGCTTGGTTCTGTGGCTTCTTGGGCTTTGACGAGGAGGCGGAAGAGGGTTTTGATGAGGATTTAACTGCGGTTGTGGTGTCATTTGCGTCGTCGTTTTGATCGTCGCCGTCGTCAGCGCGGCGGCGGAAGTTTCTGGATCTGCTGCTCATGGTGGCGGTGGCGGGTTTAGGGATTGCAGCATTCACAACTGCCCTGGTCTAGTCATTCTGCCGGGACTGAGTTCCTCTCCGGATCCTTCTCTCGGGATCTGTCGGAATCAATCAATCCTCACCGTTCACACCGGATCGTGCGGTTAGAAATCTCTTCCACTTCTTTTTCCTTTTTTTTTTGGCAAAACCGGATGCATCTCTTGCTCTCCTTTTTTTCTTTTTTGTTCATCACCATTTCGCAGAACAAATCTCTTACAATAAAATTTGTTTAAGAAACAATACCCGCGGTTTCAAATTTCAAAAAGCAATAGATTTAAAAAAAAATAAATAAATAAATTGTAATTTTTTTTTTTTTGGATAGGAAAGGAACAAATATATTAAAAAGAAAAGCCCCTAAGGCAACATGTTTAAGTGCAGTCAAATAGAAATGATGGACCAGCAATCATCGGAATAGATCTATCCCAAACATGTAAATTATTTACCGAGAAATCAATACTCGTGACAGCATCCACAAGGAAATTATCTATCCCAAACATGTAAAATTTTTTTTTTTGGATAAGAATTTACTGTTAATATTTGGATCTCAATAACATGAGTCACTTTGAGAGACCAAAGGTAAGAGGATGCTACAAATTTTGTTAACAACATCAACATCTACCACAGAGGATAATTGATGTCTATCCCACTGGCCATTAACAATGATCTGACTCGCTTTCAAGTCTTGATCAACATTGATGAGTTTTTTTTTAGTTTGTATAAATTAAAATTAAAATTAAAATAGTTATGGTTTCATAAAATAAATTGTAATTAGTCCTTGCTTTTTCTTAGTTTGTATAAATTAAAATTAAAATAGTAAATGGAAATTAAAGTGGAGTTAAATATAAAAAAACCAGAAGTCCTTTTAGCGTCAATCGGTGTCAGCGTGGAAGCAGAGTCGAAGCGGAGAGAGAGAGAGAGAGAGCAAGTCTGCTACGGTCTCCGAAGACGGAAGCTTTGCCTCTGAGTTGGGCTTCTTTATCGTCGCCGCTCATCCATGGCTGGGTATTTTCCGATGACTTTTATTTTAGCTTTTTTTTTTTTTTTTCCAATTTTTTGGGAGTTTATATTGATGCTTCTATAAATAAGTCATGGAATTTTCTGGGGTTTTATCGAAATTGTTTAAATTTATATGGAAATTCACGATTTTGAACTAACCCATCTGTTCATTTGATCGAATATACCATGAAAATTTTGAACTTTGAGAAAAGTAGATTCATATGCTTGTTCCTTTACTTTCTACGTTTCCTTTTAAATTGCACGCATTTTCGTTGTACAAGCGATATTATGCCTTAAACTAATCTAATGTGCGGGAGGGGGATTTGGAACTCGGGTGCATAGGGGAGCACATCCGGTGTAGCTAATGTGGCTACGCCCACTTCTGCTTGTACCCTTTGTTATATTTAGGTGGAAAGATTGAGATGGATTCATATAATAATGTAATCCATTGCCCTTTGTTCTCATCGAGTTATTAATTAGTCTGGTTTTTGTTATTATCATTATGAACTACTCTAATGTGGTAGTTGCCTTCGATGTCTATGGCTTTAATTGTCGGCTCACTTGTATTACCATTTACAATGACTCTCCTCTGTGTGAGTGTGTTTTAAAACGCTTTATATGTTTGCATCCCTCTACCTCGAATTCGGGAGCATGAATGTCATGATCCGTGAAGAGTGATTACGAGTGTGTTTTGGCGCTAAAAGGTTTTTTCTTTGCAAGTTATCATATATTTTCTAACATTATTTTTCATTTATCTAGTCAAATTATGCGTCATTCCATTTGTTTACATGTATACCATGATAGAAACAGTTCATAGTTTAAATCTGTTACCAGTCATTATTTGGTAGTTTTAGGCAGTTTTTTTACTTGGTTATGTATTCTCATGGGTTAATCTTTTTAACTATGTTGTTTGTTCTCAATAATCTCTGTACTGCTGGTTATATCTTGATGTCTCTTTTCAGTGTCCTTCCAACTTAAAATATGTATTCTAATTAAGCTCGGTCAAGAGTTTAAATACTTTGCTGATCATATATGGGAGCAGCTGATTGCTTCAAGTGTAATCATTTGTGTAATACATGCAGGCCATCATGGTTGTTTGACAAAAATAGAATCGCAACAAAAATCAGGAGTGCATCTGGAAGCTATGATTCTGTTGGAATTAAATGGCAAAGCAACCCAACTAAATCTTGTCCAAAATGCCAATATACGATGGACAATAGTGATGTAAGGTTTTTGTTTTTGTTTTTTTGATCCATATGTTTAAGGTTTAACGTTCATCAATGAAAAACCATTAGGTACAGAAGCTCTGTTGGAGTATTTTTAGATGAAGTTTGTTTCTGTTTGTTGTTTCATTTATTTTTAACGAAAATTGTAGAACTTTGAAAATTAGGGTGTTTGCCATCTCTTTCCAGGTTGCTCAAGAGTGGCCGGGTTTACCCAAGGGTGTAAAATTTGATCCAACCGATCAAGAGATTATGTGGCACTTACTAGCAAAATCTGGTGTAGGTGATCAAAAACCCCATCCTTTTATTGATGAGTTTATTCTAACTGTCGATGACGACGAAGGAATCTGTTGTTCCCATCCTAGGAAACTACCTAGTAAGTGAGAAACATTTGTTTTGTTTTAAATCTTTGACCCTTAATCTTTTATTAATTGATTCAAAAAATTAAATGTTAGATGTTAAGCTAGATGGAAGTCCATCCCACTTCTTTCATAGAGCAATTAAGGCTTACAATACTGGAACACGAAAGCGGCGAAAGATACATGATGGTGATGGTGATGGTGATGTCCGCTGGCACAAGACTGGAAGGACTAAACCAGTGATCTTGGATGGAGTACAAAGAGGGTGCAAGAAGATTATGGTTCTATACATGAGCACGGTCGGAGGAGGAAAACCTGTGAAAACCAATTGGGTTATGCATCAATATCACCTAGGCATTGAGGAGGATGAGAAGGATGGAGAGTATGTTATATCAAAAATATATTACCAGCAGCAGGAAGCCAAGCAAGCTGATAAAACTGATCAAGATGTTCCTGAAAGTATTGATGCGGTGATCACAAAGGTAGATCCAGTCACTCCCAAGTCGGCTACTCCTGAACCTCCACGCGCCGAACGAAAGCTTGGTGATTTTCATTTGGGACTGGATACTCCTGCTCCGTCCAGAGATCCCCTTCTTCAGGTATAATTTGTTTTCTTAATTTTGTTTTTAGTTTACTCCCACATTTCTACTAGCAGCACAAGAAGGCATTTTTATCTATTGTGTGACGAACGTATTCAAATTGAAGATTTAAAACTTATACTGCTCGCATTTGTTCCTGCCTTCATGGGTACTTTCTTGTACATTCCCTCTGCGTAATCTTTCATTAATATGTAGTGTAAGAATGTGGCATAAATGTGAATGATCCAAACAGATACTGATATGGGCTTATTTTTATGGCTTCTGTATCCAATTGAAGTATCGTGAGGAAGACGGTGCTGAAGATGAAGTGCGTCCTGATGTAGACTCTGCTTTGGATGAAGTTCATCCCGAGGTGAACCGTGCTGAAGATGTTCGCCCTGAATCTGAAATTCCTGACGATTATGATCAACACAAGGTAGAAAACCAAGCCGATGAAGTAATTAATAACACTGAAAACATTGATCATGCTCAGGAAGATCCAAAATGGTGGGACAATGAGTCACAGAACCTTCTGGATTCGCAACAACTTGTGGAAGGGTTGTCTCTGTGTGATGAGCTCCTTCAGAGCCAATCTCCAAATAGGGGTGGGCATGAAAATGGTGAACAAGCACATGTCAAACCCCGTCTTGCTGATTATGCTAAACTAGGACCTGAGGATTTAAAGAAGGATCTAGAGGCATGCCAAAATATTGTCCTTGATCCTGCTAATATTATGGACCTTGATACACCTCCTGATTTCCGACTCAGCCAGCTGGTAAGCCGTCTTCTCTGCGATTTTCTCTTGCTTGTTGGTGTTGACAATTTTCCTTTTTCTTGCATTTTCCCTTGTGCTAACGCATTTCGGGATCGGGGCATTGTAGGAATTTGGGTCACAGGAGAGTTTCCTTTCTTGGGGTGGCAAGGTGGCTGACTGAACATGGTTTGGGATTTCTGTGTTGGTTATGGTCAATGGTGGTAAATATTTTCTTGCTACGTTTTGGTTAAACTATGCCTATCAAATCAGCTTGGCGTGATATCTAACCTTATGGTAAAGAACTGTTTTTTGTAACTGTAATTCTCTGATCGTTTGTGTTCAAACATCGATCGAACGTACTCTTTTTGCTCTCTTTTAAGCATCAAGCTAAAATGCAGTTATGTTATCTGGTTTGCTTTTGTGTCTTTGGATTCGAAAGCTTGGCATTCGAATTATAACGGATTCAACGACATAAAACAAGCGAAAAAGGAAAGGCGAGAGACTTGTGGACCATCAAATGATTGAAAACTCGATGCTTTATCAACGCCAAGGAAAACACTGACGAGTTTCTCCTCTGTAATCGAATGAGAACAGGTTGGACAAGAAAACATTCATGAACTCTCAGGGCTGCGCAGGTCATGCAAGTTGGCTTTGAAAATAGCTTGATAGACCACTGGGCCTAGCCCCGCTGTTGAATTAAGCACTTGGAGGTAAAAGTGCTTGTTGATGAGCAGCATACTTGCTCGTGGGGAAGCCAGATGAGACCTAACCTGGAAAAGCAGCTTTTACTGGTGCCCTTTTAGCCTGTTGTAGGGTAAGTGACCTAGTTGGAATAGGGCACGGCACCCCTTTGTTTTATTAGCAAGACCTTGCCTAATGCTTCCCTCCCTTGGCAAATGCACTTGGTCTTCTTTTTCTCTTTGATGCCTTGATGGTGCTAAAAAGTAGACGAAGAGGGCCACAGCACCCTGGCTTTTTTGGGTTCCAATGAAAGAAAAGAACTGGACAAGGAGCCCCTGAATTTTATCTATCCGTCTACATGCTGTGCATGACTTCTTGTCTTTGTAACATCATTAAAACATGATTTTCTTTAACGTTAACCCTATTTATGTAGGGTTTTTAGATGCAAGATTTTGGAACCTTGTTTTGTTAACAGCCAGCATAACCCAATAATTTTTTTTCCAAAAAATAAAAAAATACTTATCCAAAATCGTGTATTAATTATTAAAAATATAAGTAACCACCTTAATACGAGGAGACACCATGGCCCGTGACCCATTGTCTGGAGAATGATTTTCTTCCTTCCTAATCTCTCTCCTTCGCTTCCCTCCTACTTGAATAGTTACGATTAATCCATATCAACATCTTATGTTAATTTTTAATAGATACAAAAAAGACAAAAATAAAATGTGAGAGGACAGCAGAGAATAGGATGATAACAGAATTGGATAATCCTACTGCCATCCTTTTTCCAAGAATCCCAAATAGTAAAAGACAACCCTAGAAAAACATGACTAACTCAAGTCTTAATTCACATCCTATAGGAAGTACTTGTATATGGAACTGGATCCTCTCCTAAGTTCAGGATGGGGATCCTCCTGAGCAACTCATCAGGACTGTTGAAATTTAATCCAATAGCTCTATATAGGGGGTTTTTCTAAAAGTTATAATAATTACAGCCGTAGAATCAAGTTTGAATGCCCCGAATGGGCTGCTCATGAGGATTCTCATCCTGAGCTCAGAAGAGGATCTAATTCCCTTGTATATTGGTTTTGGGCTATTTCTATAGCAAGTACTTGTGCTCGTAGCTGGTCTTTTTCAAAAGCGTGTATATGACTAGTAAGCACTTTTAAGTTTATCATTGAAGCAATAATTATTTTTTTTGAAAAACTATGGAAAAATATTTGAAAACTTTGAATTTTAACGATAAGGGCAAAATAAAAGATAAAATGAATAGTAGCAGAATTGCTTTTTTAGTATAATAATGTAATTTTTCGTTAAAATGAGCAATACCAAAAAAATTTCGTTAAAATTCTTTAATTTTTTAGTGACTGAAAAACGTTTTTGATCATTTCAACAGCCGTTCTAAATACAGCTAGCAGTTCAAAACAAGCCAATAATCGTTTGGCAAAAAGGTTTGGAGAATGTCGCATCATCATCTTAATTACATGGATCTTGATGGAACTACATCTTATCCATGAAGTACTTGAAGTGTGCTGTCCATGTAACATTATTGGAGGAAACTGAGGAAGACAAGACAGGGGATGTGGCATGTGGGGACAACGTGTGGGCCCCCTGTTTGATTAGAATAGAATCTGACGTTATGTTGGTGGGGTTGAAGATTAGGGAGGCGCACGTGGGCATTGTGAGGCTGCCGTTTTGACCCAATCGCCCTGTGTCAGGCGCGTCTTTATCCGGTGTAGAATTCTTTTTTTTTTAATCTCTTTTTTTGTTTTTCTTCTTATATTTAAACGATTACGATTAAACAATATTAGTATTTTTTTATTGATTTTTATAGGCAGATAATGACGAGAGAAAGAATCCTTCTCCCCTTCACTGACTCACTCGTTCCATTTGAGTGACGGAGTGAGCTCAAAAGAAAAAAAAAAGCTTAAAAGCTCTGTCTTTGGAGAAAGACTGTATGCATCGAGAGATTTTACCTTCATCGTGTTCCTAAAACGGCTTTAGACGCACTCCTTCATTTTGTCGGGTTTAATTTTAAGGTGTGTAAGAATGATGCTCGTATTAGTGAGAGTGTGTAACATGGCCAGTTTGATCAAAAGACCAAATGCTGAAACCTAATAAAAAACATCTACTGTTATTATGTAAGGAAACACATTAAAACACATGATATTGTATGATTGCGTCGAGATACTGAAACGATAACATGGAGGTAAATTTCCTAGAGTAAGACAGAGAGGTGGCACTTTCCTACGTGGCCGACAACAGAAGATTAGGTTGCACATTCAGCTCCTGCACAACTGACATTCTGACCCACCCTTCTCTCTTCTGATACAGAAAAACACAAAATTATGTTAAATCAATCAAAATGCCACGTGTCTGCTCATTATTCATTGCCTGTATGTTGGAGACAGGTGTCCACATATTACGTGGGGGTGCATTGTATTATTGTAGACTAGAGATTACGTGTGCTGATTTTTTTTACCAAAAGTAGAAGCTTCCTGGATTTACTTATAAAAAGTGGGTATAAAAAAAGGGGTGTGTTATCCACACACCTCTTTTTACTTCTCACACACCCCTTGTTAATTTCTATCCGTTGATCTTCTTCAATTCATCCTATCTGATGGTCGAAAACCAAAAAGATGTGGGAGAAGTAAAAAGAGGTGTATGGATATCACACCCCTAAAAAAAACTATGCTTAAAAAAATGTTTGGTAAACATTTTAAAAATAACTTATTTTTCCAATTTTTAGTGAAAAAAAAGATGAAAATGTGAAGCAGTAAAAATGAGTTTATTCTCAAATCGTAACAGAAGCAATTTTTTTTTCAAAGCACAACAATATCAAATCAGCTTTTAACCCCTTCCCCTGCTTCTCCCTTCAAAAGTAAAGAAGAGACAAAATGGAATACTATTGGGGGTAGGCCCATAATGGCCGTACACGTGGCACACGTGAACTTGAGTTGGATCCAATAATTGAACTGGCCCACAAAGAGAAGGAAGGGAGCTTTTGAGTTTGGGTTTTGACCCAAACATCAAAACAGCTGTTTTCCCACAAGGCCATGTTTGGAAGCTTATTCAAATAATGGCTTATTTGAAGTGAAAGCTTAGGTGGAGCTGATTTTTGAGGAGCTGCTGGTGCTTGTTTGGTTGAAGACAAGAAGATCATAACAAGAGCTTATAATATTATAGTGATTAGTTATGGGCCAACTGCAATTGTTTCTTTAATTAATCATTGGCCTTCCAAAACAACCATATAGAAAAGGAATTATGACCAAGGGATTAAGGCTTAAGCGATTATTTTAAGGTTCAATTTTTGTCATCAAGTGTACTTAACCGATTGGTCAAAGTACTAATCATGAATTTTGATGCTTCTACCTTATGTCTAAAGCACTTTTTGGACATGAAAATCTAAAAAAGCAAAAATAATTTGGTATACTGAAAAAGAACAGTTTGAATCTAATCTTCACTCAACATTTGACTAGATGAGCTTCAAATTTAAGATTTTGTAGATCCTATATTATTGTCCCCAATGTTTCTGTTCACCTCCAATTTCATTGGGTCATAATTGTTCTTTTTAAAACAAAGCCATTTGAAAAGGGAAGAAAACTTTGAGAACTCCACATCACTTCTTTGGAACTGAAATAGGACAAAGAAAATAAGAACATCATCAATGTTGTAGTTGCTCTAATGAGATCTTCACCGATCGTATACATCTGGTGATACAACAAATTCGCTCAAAGTATAACCTTATATGGAATTCTTTGGCAATTGAAACTTTAAACCCTTTTTCCATTTTCAATCTTTATGCTTGGAAATCCCTTCCAAATTGTAACAAACTGAAATGATATTGCTAAATGAGAGGAACAATGAAACATTTAGAACTCTAGCTTGTTATATCATATCAAAGTTTATATATTTAGGCTATTCCGATGTACATATGTAAGCCCCATAAGGCCAAATTCCCATACAAAATTTTGTCTTCAACTCTCCTAAGAACGTTCTCTGGCTATTTACAACTCCACCAAGAAGATCAAAGATCAATGATAGAAGAAAAAAAAATAGGAAAATTAAGAAGAAATTAAAAAGAAAAACCAAAATCTTCCTTGCCCCATGTCATCGTGTTTTCAATCATGCCAACAGAGGAGCATGACCACACACCTCCTGATGATGTAAAGCCTGGCTCTTTGCTCTCGCAGGACCCCTCCGAGTCCTTTGCCTGACGACGAAGACAGCCTTCTCTTGCTGCCTGCCATGCTGCCAGAGCTGCCCATCTTCATATTTCAGATAATTAGGGTTTTCTTTCTTTCTGTCTTTTGACTGCAGTGAGCGAGTGAGTGTGTGTGTTTCTTCTGCAGGTGATGAGCTTTGAGAGATTGTGTGAGTTGGGTTTGAAAGTGCAGAGGCCAGAGGAGGGGTTCTTATAGCGGGAGGGAGGACCACATGAGGAGAAATGTGGGTGTGGTCCTTGATCCACATTGGTCTTAAAAATGAGCCTAAGGATGGGGCAGTGCGCACCAAACCCACTAGACAAACGCCCACAAATGGGCACCACTGCCCTCCGTCACTATTTTGAGAGTGATTTTTTAATTTGCAGGAACACGGTTCGATGCATTAATTATAATACTACAATTGGTTAAAAGCTTAAAAAAACAAGAATTTCAATTAATTTTATTATAAAACTTGGTATACTAGACCTTGTTTTCGACAAAATAAAAAATTTATCCAAACTACTTTAAAATTCCTTACCTTACATCAGCAAAACACATTAAACCAAATGATAAAAAAAATCCAAGCAAGCACTCTATCTCTCTCTCACATCACATGTAATATTGCTACGCTACATTGGTCTAAAATGGACTATACATCATATACGTGTGTGAAGTAGGCTTTACCCACCAGCATAATGGGTCGGCCACTACTCACCATAGGGTTGCAAGTTTTTTGGTTGGTTCTGAGTTGCCCTCTAATTTTGTAAATAATGAGGTACGAGATACACACACCAGTTTAAGAAAATTATCTGAATCTTTACGCTCATGAATTCAGTTTTCATTTTAGACGAACTGACACGTGTGTACACAATTTTTTTTCTTAATCGTGTGCTTTCAATAAGTCACTTTTGTATATAAGCAAGCCTATATGGAACAGGTGTCCCAACCTAATTTTCTCCTATATTTTTAGTGCTTTCCTTTGTTGTCTTCTTTTTAACTTTGTGTTGAATCCACCTAAACATGCAATAAGATTAGGAGGGGATAAGTTGAATCCTACACAAGAATCCACGTTTATTAATCAACTAACCTTTAGTTAGGATGCATGATTAGTGGCTTCATCATCTTTTTATCATCAGATAGGCTTATTATTTATAGCAAAACCATGCATTTAGGGACAAGACAACGGCTTTGATAGCAATGTTAGACTTTCCTGTACCATGCTCCGGTTATTATTGCATACTTTAGGTCACCGCTGAGTCACTGCCCCCGTACCAGAAATACGAATGATGTAAGATTAGGGTTACGTTTGGTGAAGTGGGGTTTAATTTTCTCAAAACACGGTTCATTTTTTCCTGCTTGCCTTTTTCTTTTAGAATTATTAGTTAAAGGGAAGGAGTTGAATTAATTTGCTGAGTCATGATATTTGTATATATGCAGAGTAGGGCAACATGGCATGCAGTTGCAGATGGCGATGAGAGAGTAAGATTGGCATGAGAAATTCGTGGGTAGAGCTACCGCGCCATGTCCACCCGCCTGTCTAAGTCGCACATAAAGTGAGCTTGCATTTGGTGCTACCAACATGAGCTCGTGTGGAACTCGAATGCAAGGAGTTCTATTGTGTGCATTTTTGCTAGACGGGTGGCATGGTCGACAGCCATGACAGCCATACTGAAGAACTTCTCGATCTGCAGAGCCTTTCACTTTAAACAGGCGGAAATTAGTTGTTGGGTGGACAATGTGACAGACATAGCTTGTCTCTGGGTGCGAAATGAGACAGTAGGAATATATGAAAAGGGCAACCAAATATTATGATGATTACGAGAGCCTGCTTGGAAGGCATTTCGGACACTGCTGCTGATTACCTAGCTTTGTGAATTTAATTATTATGCTTCAGTGCTGCACCAGAAGCAAAGCAAAGCAAACCACTTGCTTCATCTCGTGCTCCTCCCATTTCTCTGAGGAGACCAGCTTCCAATAACCCTCAATTCTAATAAGCAAATTTTATCCATTATTCTATTCTGTATTTGAGCAATTTTAAGCTGTATATCGAATCAGGCAATGGCACTCACAAGTGGTTTCTTAGTTTCTTCCATCCTGTTCATACTTAGGTACATATGTGCATGTTAGGTATGTACTATGTCATATGAAATACGTTGAGCTTCGTTTTTTGTATCATCTCAACAAACAATTCAATGTAATTTAACCGCAAGTTCATTTTTGTTCAAAAATAACACACTAAATAATCAATAAAGATAGTACATATAGTTTATTACCGAACTTTCTACTTAATTTTCAATGTCACAAGAACATATGTTCATACACGCAACATCAGCGCAATTTTACTTGGTAGATCGAGTGTTTTTTTTTTTGTTTTTTTTTAAATCAAGAATACTTGGCAGAGACTCTAGGTACCGTAGAGTACAAAACTTTGGGAACTCAAATAATACCCCCAGAATAGAGCTAGAAAATGGTGCTGATTAAATTAATTTGAATTCAAGAGCGATATATCCAAAGTGTCCCATGTATAGTTTCGAAGCTTGTGTCTCTCATGTTATGTTTGTTGTTCCAAATAAACAACAAGGTCAAGGTCAGAGTTGCACGTGAACTTCTCGTGATTTACAATGCCATTGCCTGCAATTGACTCAACACATATATATTTTTAATTTCATCTTATCTCTGATCTAAGTAGTAGCCTCAAATATATATATATATATATAAAAGAAACCTTTAAGGAAATGGATCCCTATTTTTTTTTAAATAAAAATAGGGATTAGTTGTGGAGTCCATACCACATCAAACCGATCTAAACCGTTTATTTTTCAAGTTGCACATCATAAATCATCCTTGCAAAGAATTAGCCAAATCGAAAATGTTTAAGACATCTAATTGAGTTCAAAGAAATTAACGAATACTTTGTTATATAATAAACAATGAAATTTTACCTTGATAATTAAATAGGCAAATGGTTTTAGATTGAATTGAATTTTTGTAAGGATGATTTACAAAATAAACTGTTCGGATCGTTGAAGTTCGATGTGAAGTGGGCCCCACATCTAATCCCCATTTGTTAAAAAAATGAGGATCTCTTTGCATAAACGGCCAGTGTGTGTGTGTGTGTGTATAATCTGTTCTTGATGCTTGTATTATAAGCAACTTGAATTCCTTAATTCCAGCATGCAAGTTCTGATGTGCTTCCTTACCACTTTCCCTGCAAATTCAAAGGGAAATATTAATGGAGCTAATTAGCTAGCATTAGCATTATGCCTTTTATGTATGGAGTCCAAACGTGCATGTGACAAACATCTGTGTTTTTGGTGGAATGCACGGAATTGAGCGGCAAACTACAGACTACAGTTGTATTCTTACATGCATATATCGGATTTTGGGTTTTGGCAGGCTTTGCTTCGAAGGAAGCTTTTCGCAATTTGAATGAATAATTAGCCACGTTCTTGAATTATGCGTGGTTTTCCTAATTACTCAATGATTATGTTCTCGCACTTTGCATGATCGTTGACCGCGAAGCCCCACCATGGCAGCATGGCATATATATATATATATATATATATATATCAGACCCAGCCAGCGTGGCAGCATGGTATGATCATGAGCAGTGCTGGTTTATGACAAATACATGATAAGATTACGTACTTAATTTATCAACATTGGACGAAATGGGGTCCAAAGAGGAGGATCTGAAGGTTTATCGAGTTCTTTCGCTAAACTCACTGCATTACAAATTCAAACATTTTCAAAATAAAATATTATCACAGGCTCACGACCTTGCATGTTTTTGGTGTTTGAAATGTGAAATTTGAACTCGAATGCTAGAAGATTGACACACTACCCTAGTTAGCTAGCATAAACTCACGTATATGTTTTTCCCGTGTTTCGGAAGGACAGAATGCTTGCTTGCAGTTGAAGTTCATGGAGGACTCTGCAACTGCACAGTAAAAGTCCTAAATAACAGAAACCACCGTTCAAAGTATAAATATTTGGTAATGCAGTTTGGTTCAAGGTACAAATATGTTTGTATTAGATTCCAGCTAATCCTTTCATGTTTAAACATAATTCTATATCACCAAAGTTGGTCAATTCAGATTACTACACACAATTTACAGAAAAGGAAAAAAAGTATGTTCTTTTTCACAAACTTGAATCAATCCCCTCTTGGGATCCACCTGCTCCACCAGAGACTCTTCCGACGGCTGTTGATCTCATCCATGCTCTCGTTCAACGTCTTCACAATCTTCCTCTGCAGCCGAAGAGCTGAAGCCAAAGCATTCCTTCCCAGTGCACCTGCCTTCTTCTTACTAGTAGGATTCAATTCCTGCACATTATATAGAAGTGTAACTCCCGAAAAGATTACAACTTTAATGATTTCCGAATGGATGGTGATTTTTCACACTCCTATATTCTCATTCTGCACTCCTCTTGTTTAAGTCCATTGATTCTCCTTTGATTTGTTCAACTCAAAGGCTAGGAACAAAGGGAGGAGTGCCGAGGAGAAAATGGGTGTGCGAAAAGCATTTCCTTTTCCAAATTTAAGTTCAGGTACAAACTCTAAGGTCCTGGAGCTCAGCTTCTGTGAAGCCACCATCCTGCGCGGTTCCTGATCGTGCCATTAGCCGAATAATCCATTTGGCAGCCTCCCCATAATCTTGTTGTGTATATCGAAACACTTGCAACCTCAGGTTCTGCATCAAGGACAGAGCCAACAGTCCTTCCTTGTCAAAGTAGGGATACGCTAAGGCTGTTTTCGCACTGATTCTCTGTCTCGCTTTGTACCGAACCATTGATGTCAGGAGCTCCCATCCAATGCCACCATCCAAATCCAACAACTCAAAACCTCTTCGTAGATCAGCGCTAGCTCGGGGCTCGGCGGCTTTTCTCCATGCAACCAAGTCATAATCGCACCTTTTTAGCTGACGGTTGAATTGTATTAGGCTGTTGTCACTGCGTAATGATGGGAAGGCCTGTATGAAGAAGTTGAAAGAGTATTGAGTGAATCATTTAGTATACCAACAATAGCTATATTCCGCAAGTTATGTCACTCACCATTTGTAGGAATATGAGACCGGCACTGTAGATATCAAATCTATCCGGTAAATTCATCTGCTCAAGACCATATAATTAAAACCATTAAATCAATTTATCTGCCTGAGAAAGTAAGTTAGCAATAATAAAATTTGAGATGATATAACAATTAATATTTTCACCTGCC